TGACACCCACCCTCCCCTTCTGAGGCTACGACAGCAGCATCTAGAAAGAGACACCAGTCTGAGCCACCTGAGAATAAGCCCCCAGGGGCAGACGGTGAAACGTGAAAATGCCTGGAAGGAGCCATGTGGCAGCTCACAGGCCATGTGGTCCTGATGGAGGCGAAGGTGAGAGCTCTCTCTGGGATTGTAGGAACTGATCGTTGGGGTGTGGGGGTCAGTCAGAAGGCAGGGGTGTTCTCTTACTTCCAAAAGAGGGAATTTAGATGAATTGTTATTTACCCTTTTAGGAAACTTCTGTTCAGGAATGAATTTCATTCTTGCGTGATGGTCCTTATAGAGGGAAACTGCACCACTTTGCTTCGCTTTTCAGCACACCACAGCTCAGAAATTTGGTTCTACTAATATCAAACGTATAAATGTAAGAGAATGAGACTTTCAAATGATGGGCACTGGCTCTTCAAAACCCTGCTGGAGGAAGGAAGGAAGAGCATCGTTGTTCCCCAGGGCCTGAGGACCCCACTGTGGCCTAGATAAGGGGAATGTGTATTTGTTTCAAAAGTCAGAATCACCTCTCTCCTGACAACCAGAATTCCTTTTATTTAGGCATATTTTACTGAACATTAAACAGCACAAATCCAAATAATAAGGTACAGGCCAGTGCCCAGGCCTGTAATTCAGTTCAGCTTGGGTGTGAGTGTATGGACACACACATACTAACACACACACACTTTCACAGAACCTTGCACATTTTACCATCCTGCAACTACAGCATTTTATGAAGCTATATAGCTTTTAAAAATAACCCCCCTGGTGCCCATGCACACACACTTTCTTTTCCTGGTCAATGCAGCAAGTGAGATTTATTTTAAAAGAAGGAAAGAGAAAAAAAAAAAAGACTTACACCAATGGGTTTATCTAAAAGGAAGCAAATTAAACAGAGCTATCCTGATAACAGCAGATGTCTAGTTATAATTCATATATCTAAGGCTGATTAATATATTCACAAACAAATCGAATGTATTGCCAAAAACAAACAAACAAAATGCTGCTGCTTAAACACCCCAGCAGCTACTGGTTTGTTGTGCTATTCCATCAGGCAAAATGCTCTTTCCCCAGCTCCTAACACTATTTGTTTTGCTTCCTGCCAATCTCACAAATAATTCATCTTGTGTGTCATTTCCTCTTAAATGCTTCCTGGTGCTTGATTGCTTTGCCTGGGTGGCATTTGATTTCAAACTGCCATTTTACCTTTATAAACATTTAGAACTTTCTAAGCATAAGGAGAATGCCCAAAAGGCATGCAAAAATGAGGTTGTAATTAGATCAGCAAAGTATGCTTTACAGAGTATCTAGCTTTCCGGGTACACCAGAAATCTCTCTTTGCATCCAATACTGTGTTTCCAGTCTGGGTGCAGAACTGTAAATTAACATTTACTCTAGCAAAGAGGCCCTGGAATCAACATATTTAATTTATTATTACTGCAAAGATTAGTGAAATAGAATACATATAATATATTTAAGGATCTGCACCCAGACCACAAAAAAAGGGGGGATAGGGACGGGGGGAAGGTGAAAAGCAAAAAACAAAAGATAAAACAGAAGTAACATCAGTTACCACCTGATTTTTGTGGTAAAAAATAGAATATGACGTGCAATAGTGCAATTTTTCTTTGCTAGTCCAGCAATGCAAGTCTTAATAGGAAGTCCACGGAGGATTTTCTGCATTTCAGGATTTAGTTGCGTGCTTGCCGGGGCTTAGAGTTCCTGCCAGATTTCTGACTCTGAGTGGAATCGCTATGGCTGGAATCACTTTTATTCAGTCCAAGATGACGGAGCTTCATATCCCAGCGCTGTGAAATGTAAAACAGAAACTGGTCACAAGCACATGTCACCAGAGTCATCACTTGTACTGTTCTAACAACTGAGCAAGATTGTAAAATCAGATCTTGAGAGCATTTTACTGCTTTTCCAAATGTGTAAAATCTCTATACCAGGTTAACAATGAGACTGATGCTATATGAACGTAATTCTTTGATTTTAAAAAGCACAAAGTTGGCCACTTGTAATAATATATCAGTAATGCTTTCAAATCAAATCGTAAGCTTAAAATCTCCATGTCGGTAGAGGGTGACACAAATATGTGTCAGTATCTGTGGGTATTTCCTGAGGTTACGCATACAAGTCTGCCACTTCATGGGTGATCAAGTGGAAGATTTACAGAGAGAATTTGAAGGAAGGGCAACTTTTTATCTTCCTCTCTTAATGACACATAAGAGCACAGCCTTTTATAACTATGTGATTTGAGCAGTGAAAAAAATGAAAATGGGGGGAAGGGATGACAACATTGTTAACTGACTATACTTCAATTAAAAAATATATAAGCAAAATAAAATAAAATGATTAGGCAGAAATTTTTTAAAAATGAGGGGAGGGGATAGGGTCCCTTACAATATTTTTCTAAGTTAATATATGCCAAGTGCAACAAAACAGAACAAAGTTCTGCCCTCATTCTAAGTTTTGCAAAGCAGACATTACCAATTTTTTAATAACTATAATCAAGTTTCCTAATATTTCATTTTAACAATTTTAATTTTGTTTACATGTAATACAACAAATTAAAAGGAGGCTATATTATGGGTACTATAGGTAGAAATAAGAGTAAGTACTTTTTAAATTTTAATGAATATAGAAATAACCTGGATATCTTGTTAAATCTGCAGAGCGTCACTCAGTGGGCTGTGATGGGGCCCAAGATTTTCATACTTAACAAGTTCCCAGGTGATGCCAAAGTTGCAGGTCCAGGGAAGACACTTTGAGCAGTGAGGAGCTAATGTCAGATATAGCCCAAGTTCAAGTTCTAACTCCATCAGTTACCATGCAGAGTTTCTGGAACTTACTAGAACTTATCATTTACACATTAGAAAATTATAAAGACTGTTTATTGTTCTGAAGGTTAACAGATGAAAAAGGTATACAATTCTTAGTACATAACAAATTTTCAATTTTTAATTGCTGAAATAATTCTTCATTTTAGCACCCTTTTACTCCATATCATATCTTACTGGTTTTCATATTTGATTCACAACTCCCCGAGGCAGGCCAAATATCGTAATCTGAACAACCTGCTATGACCAACACTTTGGTTAAAAAAAGAAACAGTTTGCATGGCAAAACTATAAAAAGGGTCTTAATTTAATTCTTGATCTTTACCTGAGAACAAAAAATCAGTTGAAAGGGCAACTCATTAACAGGAAGAAACAAACAACAGTGCTCCATATAACTCTTTTTTACATCCTCAAAATTGACTGGAAAACTAAAGTAAGGATCTCTATTGAGCCAAAACAGGCTGCCCACCCACAGACTTTAACCCTGAGTTCTGCATATGAATTCAAAAATGTTCAAGTTATTTCTTTCCTTCAGCGTGTTTAAATCCAGACTAAGACTATAGATGATTTTTACAATAATAACTGTGAGTTCCCCGTAGAAAGTAATAGAAAATATGTCTGCCTTCTGAAGAAACAAGACAAGCCAGGAGTCCTGGGTCTTTACACGATGATAATTGTTTCAGTACCAAAAGAGAAGCAGGAAGCTGTGTTACATGCTTTGCAGCAAGGATGTTGAAAGCTCTTCCAACTGGTACAGGAATTTAGGACAAATTCCTGTTCTGCATTAGCAAGCAGAAAACTGAATTAGAAGGACAGCAAGAGATTCCAACATACTTTTTAATAAACACCAAACAAATTGAAAAGATACACAAATAGAGAATTCTCCTGAGTCTGAACTTGAAATACAGCTCACTTTTGACAAAATACTAAAGAAAAAAGAGATTACTGGAGGGTATTTTCTCTCTGCAAAATAATGCCCTCTGTATTTTTGTAGGTCACTTTAACTGAAGTGTGTCCGCTGTGTCAAGTGCCAGATGTATAAGATAAACTGCCCAGGGGTGTTTAACTTACCCTGTAAATGTTTCCCAAGCCTTCAAACTCACAGAAGGAAGAGGATGTATTATGTTTGGTACAATTCCCACTTTCCCCTCCCCCCACTTCCTGTCCAACACACACACACACACACACACACATACATACACTTTTTGATTCTTTGCCCCTCTGTGCATACTGCCCCTACATCCCTTCAGTTGAAACAGATTTGCTTAGTATAGTAAGCATAAATGGAATTTTCTACAAGGTGATTTACTGTGATTTTTAAAAAATGCATCACTTACAGAATCTCAGAGTCATTGGCTTAAAAATAAAGCTACAGTACAGCTCGAAGGACCTAATTTGGTCAGATCTTATCTACACAAATGAACGTGGCTGCACCCAGTACATAGGAATTGGTGTTTATGCACTGGGACAATCCTGGCAGTTTTCCACCTGTGCTTTATTCCCCCCTCCTCTGACTCACAGAACTGCAGTTGTTCAAGGAAGCAATACACTCACCTAAAAAAGCTAAATTTTCCAGCTTCTCTTGCAGCTAGAGATGGACATGAAACCCATGAATCTTAAGTAAAAGTTGTTAGATGGGGCACTTAGAAATTCCTTTGTAACCTCCTTTTTCTTTTACCCTGCGATGTAGGCGTGACGTGGAGGTAGGGTAGCCATCCTGTGACCTCGGGCTGAACATGAAGATGGAAGCAATACCCTTAAAAATGGCAAAGCCATAAGCTGGAAGGAGTCTGGAGCCCTAATAATAATATGGAGTCACCAGACCAGGACTAGATTAACTACAGCTAGACTTCCCATTGTCAGAAGTCTGGCAGCTGTAGTTAGATCTCTGATACACTCTGATATAGAGAATTTGCTTCTTAAATGAAATAGACGTTAGAGACAAACTCAGTTCTTGGACTATTGAATATAGATATATCAAGTTTTAACATTTCTTATGTATTTGAAGGCAGCTATTTTGTTTAAATGACAAATGGCTATTTTCCTACGTTTCTATGTATCACTCTGAATTTAAAATTGAGGCTTACCTTAACTTTTTTACCAAGTCGATCCTTCCATTTCTCAGCGATAGAACCTTCCACCAACAGTAATCTGTGTTTTTTAAAGATGCAATCATTGTCGAAAAATTAAAACACATTATTGAAAAACACAAGCAATTGGTGCCAAGAAAGACTTACTGTTTATACTAGAATAGGACAGCCAAGTTTTAGAACAGCAGTTCTTAACAATTTGGGAGTTACAGACCCCTTTAAGAACAAATGAGGTCATGACCCCTCTCCCCCAAAAATGCACACCTACAAATTTCACACATACACTTTTCTATCCAATATATGAAATTGAAGGATCCAACTAAAAGCTATCTTTAGTCCCCTCGAAGGGAGGCAGATCCCAAAGTAAGAACCTCAGAGTAAGCTCTCCAGAGACAGGCAGTAAGGCTAGGACAGGCATAGGAATTGCTCTGAGTCCTTAAGGAGTGAATTACCTGGAGCGTTCCTCGTCTTCATAGCCCATGATGATATACTCCTCATTAACGTTAAGCGGAGGACACAGGCAGCCAGAGCTGGTGTAAAGGTTAACAGTGTCCCTTGGAATGTTCACCAGAGAAGCCTTTAAAATCTCCTTCACCTCCACTACCGCAGTCACGTCATGGCACTTGCTCTTTACTTCTTTAACTTTAGCCCGAATGACTGGATAAAAGAGAATAAAGCTGGGATGGTAACATCACGCACAGTAGGCGCCCCATTCAGAAAAGACAAGGAGACTTCTTTCTAGTCAGTTCATATCCACTTGATGCTCAGTGAGTGCAGGGAAAAAGTCAGCCAGATATTTCTGCCTTTGACAGTGAGTGACACACTACACAACACGCCTGCCCCTTTAAAGTTCAGCCCTGACCTCCTTAGAATTTGTGTGTACATTTATATTTGTGTGTGTATATGCACGTGTGTGTGCACGTATTTCATTGTGAGAAACCGTTTAGCTCATCAAGGGTTGAGTGGATCTGGGTGTAATTTTCCTCCAGAATTTCATTTTGGATGTGTACAGATATATGTGTATATTTGGATGTATGTGTACAGCTTCAGTTGTTGCCAACAGGAATCTAAACTATATTAACTTCACTATATGTAAAGACCTAGTACTTTAAAATGCTTTGTTTCCTCGTCAGCATTCTTCTATCAGGTCTATTAATACTTTTCTAAAGAGTTAGGGTTTTCTTTGGTGTCATAAAGTAGTCCTGCTCCACAGTGTGCCCAAGCTGGTTCTGCAATCTTTCCATCTGCCTCCTCTGATCTCACTGGTCAGACGTCAGCTCCTTTCTTCCTTTATTTCAGTAAATTTTTTATACTCTCCTTTAGATATACTACATTTTCTTTTAAAATAAACACTGACCCCACTCACATGCTATGGAATATGGTCTAACTTGTCAATTGTATTCATCTACTTCTCTCAGTGGATATACTGGCACCCAACTTATAAGACTTGCCTTTACTTCTCAATATGAAGACAAACTGCCTTAAAAGTAATCAGTTCAGTTGCAAAATCAAAGTATTTGACTGAGAATATAGAAAGTACAGCTCTGTTGCTTTTCTGTATTTCTCTCCTTTGGAAGAGCCAAATTCTTTAGATTCCTACTTCTGGTAAATGAGGTAGATTTTTTTTTTAAGGGGGAGTTTGAAAAAGCCTAAGAAGAAGCAAAAATATCAATTAGTAAGAAGTCAATGGCTTTCACCCAGGCACCCTCATTGCTCTAGTTCAACATCCACGGACATTATAGAGAGGAAAACACAACATGTCCGCATGAATGTACTTTTTGAAAGCCTCTTAGGCACGTATCTGCAAACCACTTTCATCTGAGTCCCTTCCCACATATTTTAGGGGTTTTGGACTACAAAGGAAAAAGTAATCCACGAAATATAAGTCCAGTTAATCAACCATTTCCCCCATCAATGCCCCAATTTCATACAGAAAGTTATTCAATAACATTCCACCAGTACAACACACATACAAATTAAGCTACTAATCCTAAAAACTTTAGGACAAAACCTCATTTCTGCTTCATAGGTATTTCAATCTTCAGAGAATTAGGTGTCTCAAGTATGAGAATTTATAGCAAACAAAATATAACTGCCCAGCTGTCCCTGTTTGGTTTGATTTGTGAGTGAAGGAGTCCCTTTCTATTAGGGTTCTATTTTATTTTAACAAAAGATAAGGTTGCCCTTTTTGAAATGTCATTTGGGAGGATCAGATGATAGATTCACAGCCCGACTAGCAGAGATGTTTTGGTGTCCTGGCTTCTGTGAATGTGCTTCATAGCCTTCATCAACTATTAGAGATCAGTGAACCGTGCAAATGTTCTCAAACTAATGATTTATTTGCCCAACGTGTCTACTATTTTCATTAGAAATTTTTAGCACATGTACCTATTCCAAAATAAATATCTCTCTACAAGACTTACTTTATTATTCAAGTAATTTCGTTAAAGCTCCAAGAGCTTTTAACTGAATTAATCTGAATGAAGCAGAGGATTTATCTGAATTATCAGTAGCTCCCATCCCCACTTTGTTTTCTCAGTGGACACATGCAGATATTTAAGAAATAAAAATCAACATATTTTAGAATTATAAGGTATTTTCTTTTCAGAGCTTTTGCCTCTGTATCATCATTTCAGAGCCTGCCTTAGCCAAAGAATCTCTAAGTAAGCCTCAGACGAGTGAAAATCCTTAAACTATAGGCAATCTGAGTATTATTTGAATATGAGAAAGAAATTATCATTTTCCATTGATTGTGATCTCTGTCCCATTTCCTGTTAAAATAGTCACTCAGCTACTTTGTGGAAGATTTTGTCTTTCCATGACTTGGAACCACCAGTATTTTATCTTTTAACAAAAATAGCAGCACTAACCATTGCAGCACTAAGAGAGTTGGATAAAGTAAAAATTGATAACGGGTAAAATCAACACAAACTGAACTAAAATTCCCCAGTACAAAATTTTTACTATGCTTTTTAAAAATTATTACTGTATTTAAAAGTTCATAGAGCATTTTTCAATCTCACAAAGCTAATCTCCTAAAAATTAGACTTCCCTTTCTTTATGATTTTTTCACATCAATTGTAGAGGAGGGGGTCCTCAGATGAGCAACCAAGCATCTGACTTCTTAGGTAAACATAACATTTCAAGCTTGGAAAGTATGTCTACCATTGGCCAAGAGAAACTAGCTGCTTCTAAAGATGATTAAAAATAAATAATAGAAAATAAAAATTAATTCCATTGAGAAAAACTTCTGAATAATAAAGGAAGGACAAACTTAAGTTCAATAATAAAATAAGGACAATAATACATCTCACAGAGCAGTTGAAAAAATTACATAATATAGTGTGTGGAAACCACCTAACACAGTACCTGGCCCAGAGACAGCAGGCTTTTTCCTCCCCAGTTAAGTCTGTCAGCTATGTTTGGGTTGGTAGCTCTTCAATTAATATTTTGTTTATCAGAATACTGTGTATCTAGGTCAAGCTAGATAACAAAACATTTCCTTAATGGAACACTAACAAATTCTGTGTTACTTTCCAACTCTGTCAATGTTTTCCATGAGACAAACTACTTGAAGAAATCAAGTTTGATTCTTTTAGCAATCTCTTATGCATTGATGTGCTCCTCTGTTCACCCCACTTACCGTTCACCCCAGTAAAACACAACTGATGACCCACTGCAGCTCCAAAGCCTCCTCAGCCTGTCAGACAGAGGAGTCCCTCCCCTCTGTTTTGAAACGTATCTCCTGTGTACTTAATTGCGTGGTTCTAAGATGCCAGCAGTGCTGTCTGATATGCTTCAAAAAATTAAGAATTTGTTAAGAATTGTGCCCATATGAGACATGTTAATTATTTGGAACAGGGAGACTATGCTTTTAAAATTTGTCCTTGTTAATTTGTTTTTAAGCCTTATTTTTCAATTGCTGTATTCATTTACACACACACACACACACACACACACACACACCACACAAACACACACACAAACACACACCTCTTTCTTAGCCCAGCAGTTTATAGGTCAATGGTGAAGTTATCCTTACCATAGTTGTAATTGTTTCGGAAATAGGTCTTCTGTGTAGCTCTAATAGGTTTACATTTGCAGCGTTCTAAAAAATAGAACATTTTATCTATTATAAGCAAAATTTCAATATTAGCTAATGTAAACAAAAGAATTGTTTAGGCACATTTTGTGGTAAGATTAGACCCAAATTTGGTAGCACGGAGGCTCCTAGCAATTCTGTGTGTCTGACCTCTTTCTCCTGAAATGACATTCACGTTTATTCTTTCTACAGAGCCTCTTATTCAGTGTCAATATGCTCATAAGTGCCTGGCCTCCAGCATACCACCCAAATCCTAAGGAAAGATTGTTCTCCACCAAGCATGAGGAGAGCATGACCCCTGAATCCTAAAAGAGACATGCTTAGTGCTTATGGCAGTAGAATCAATGCCTATTGAGAGGCAGCATATGCTTATGCTCAGGTGACTGGTTTACCCCTGTGCAGGACCACGTGCATTTGTATACATTTTCCAGATTACACAGCATTCCCCCAAACATTAGTTTCTGGATCTAAAAGCAACTCGGTGAGATAAGCAGGTATTATTATAACCCAGTGAACTTACTGAAGTTCTTAAGAAGAGAGAAGTGATCTCCTCTTCTTTTATATATATATTTTTTTAGTTTTTCATTTTTTAAATTTTTAATTGAAGTATAAATTATTTATATTACATTAGTTTCAGGGGTACAACATAGTGATTCTCATGAGCACCAACTAGAGCAGAATAACTGCTATTTAACCCACTGGTATTTTTATACTTATGGGAAGAAATTACTATATACGTATTTTATTTTTATTCTTCTTTTGCTCCTATTATTATTTTTTCTTTTTTAAATTATAATTGGTTTACAATGTTATGTTTAAAAAGGTTTTTTTTTTTAACTTTTTTTTTTTAATGGAGGAGGTACTAGGGATTGAACCCAGGACCTCGTCCATGCTAAGCACGTGCTCTACCACTGAGCTATACCCACCCCATACATATTTTAAAAGAGAAGTTCCATGCATTTTAAATTCTGGTGAATGGTCATATTTTCA